AAAGTTATCTACTAGTAAATAAACTTAAGTATTAAAGCTAAAGTTATTTACTAGTAGATAATCTTAGGTATTTATATTAAAGTTATCTATAGACTAGCCTAGATATTTATATTAGCCTAGGTATTTATATTAAAGTTATTTATAGACTAGCCTAGATATTTATATTAAAGTTATTTATAAACTAGCCTAGGTATTTATATTAGCTTAGGTATTAAAGTTAAAGTTATCTACTAGTAAATAACCCTAAGTTAAAGTTAAAGTTATCTACTAGTAGATAATCTTAAGTATTTATATTAAAGTTATTTATAAATAAGCCTAGGCCTTTATATTAGCCTAGGTATTTATATTAAAGTTATTTATAGACTAACCTAGGTATTTATATTAAAGTTATTTATAGACTAGCCTAGGTATTTATATTAAAGTTATCTATAAACTAGTATAGGTATTTATATTAAAGTTATTTATAAATAAGAGTTATTATATAATAAAGATAGTATTCTAGGTTTATTAAGTATATATAATAATAAAGGTAACTATATAATATATATTCTAAAATAGAATAAAATAATAACTATAAAAATAGGAATATATAATATATCTTATATAGAAAAATCTACCCTTATATAATAGTTATATTTTAAACCTAATACTACCTTAAAGCTTATAAGCTTATATATAATACTAATAGGTAATACTATTTAGTATATTTATCTATAAACTTATTAAACTTTTAATATATCTATTCTTTAAAGTATTTAGCTAGAATTAATATATTAATAATATTATATTAAAGGTAGTAAAGAAACTAAATACTAAAAAGGTAATATTCTTTTTTAAGGGGGTAATAAAGGCTTTATTTTTTAGATATCCTTATTTCCCCCTTTTCTATTAATAAATTTAAGCTAGTATAATATTAACTTTTTAAGGTTTAAATAATTCCTATATCTTTACTATACTTTTAGATTTAATTCTAAATACTTACTTTAAATAGTTATATAATAATATTACTAGGCTTATAAACCTCCCTACCTTATATTTATAGTATATATTACTAGCTAAGTTAAGAATAGTATATAATAGTAAGAATAGTATATATAATTAAAGAATAAGTTATTAATATAGTTATTATATACTTTTTACTTTATTTTATAGTATTAGGGTTTTAGCTATATTATAAATAAGAGTAATAGTATTAATACTATAAAAGTAATCTAGGCTAGTTTTATTCTAGTATATTACTTAGTAGAATAAGATCTATATATTAGAGAATATATTAGAAAAATAAAAGATATTCTTTATATAATAGTAATAAATACTTAACTACTATCTTTTTTAAAGGTAAAATATTTTAAAAATAATTAGGTTAAAAAACTATTTATTAGTATTATAAGTAGATAAGTAGATAGGATTATTTATTATAGGCTTATTCTATAAGAACTATATAGTTATATACTATAATTAGTTTATTTATATACCTTAATACTTTAATATTATACTAATAGTATAAAGTATAGTAAAAGCTATATATAAAAGGAAAGCTACTTTAAGTAAGAATAGCTAAACTAAGAAAGTAAAGGAAATACCCTAAAAGCTTTTAAAGCTACCCCTATAATATAATATAATAGCTTATATACTAGTATATACCCTTACTATAAAATAGAAGGATAATAAAAACTATCTTATTAACCCCTAGTATATTAAGATATTAATAAAAGCTTTTATTAAAAACTATAGACTAAACTATATAATTACCCCTAACTATATATAAGTAGTTTATTTTACTATAGATTTAAAGAAGATATATATATATATTAGCCTAAGGAGAGGGGTATAATCCTAAAAGCTATATAACTTTAATAACTAGTTTAAGGTTAATAGTAATATTAAGTTTAAGATTATTAATAACTAATATTACCTATTAATATTTATAGAGTAGGCTAAAGTATAGTATTAAAAGAAGGATAATTTATAGTAAATATATAAGATATTTATCTATAGTTTATTATAGCCTATAGTATATATAAGCTATATTACCTATATAGAATAAGAGCTAATAATTATACTCTAGAGTTACTATTAAACTAATAAGACTATTAAATCTAAATAAACTATAGCTAGATTAATAAACCTAATATATATAGTAATATATAGATATAAGCTATTACTATATTAAAAAGTAAACTACTTAGATTTAAAGATAACTACTTAATAATATTAAAGGTAATAGCTATAAAGCTAGATCTTAGTTAGTAAGATAAGTATAAGCTAAAGTAGCTAATAACTATATAAAGAAATAAATATTAGTATAATATTATAACTAAGTAGTATAGAATAGTATTAGGTAGGTAGTTATTTAATATACCCTAATAGGTTAAGATAATTACTTAAAGAGTTAATAAGGTATATTATAACCCTAATATATATATATTTTATATAGCTATAATATAGCTATTATAATTAGGATATTTAGTATAATACTAATAATTAATAGTTTTTCTTTATTTAATTTTATTATATCTTTATTATACTATATATACTTAATAGGATAATAAATATCCTACTATAAGATTAGGAGCTTCTTACTACTATCCTATAATAAGACCTAGACTATAATATATATATATAAAAACTATTCTACTTAAAATCTAAAGTAAATAATATTTAATAAAAGATAATTTAATCTTAAAAGTTATTACTACTCTTAACTAATAAAGAGTTCTATAATATATATATTAAACTTACTAAGAACCCTAACCTACTATTTCTTAACCTAGTACTAATAATAAAACTAAACTAAAAGTAACTATATATACTCTAGTAAGTTATAATAGCTATAACCTAGTAAATAAGTACTTTAAATAATTAAGTTTATAATAAAAGTAATAATTAAAAGCCTAGGATTAAAGAATCCCTAGTATATAATCTATACTATATAATATAATAGTTTATTAATAGCTATAT